GAGAGAAGCAGAGCTGAGCCCAGGAAACTGAGAGCTGGTTATGGACAGGGCCCCCTGGGACGACCAGCTAAAAGTCTTGTGTCTCTCTCTCTCTCACTCCCTCTCCCTGTCCTCTGTATTCTGTGTTTATAGTCTGTGCTGCATTACAAGAGTGACTCATCAGGCTGGAGCACAAACTCCACAGTGCTGAGCCCACGGGGTGTGGGTGCACACACCTGACTGGAAAAGTGTCCGGGGTGGGGACCAGGTGAGGACAGGACAGCCCAGGAGACCTGTCAGACTTTTTTTTTACCACTTTCCTACGGAAGAAAACGTGAGCAAAGAAAAAGAGCTGGATGCCTGTCTTCTACTCTCTTTTGATGCCAAGTGAACTTGTTCACTCCTTGTGATGTCTTCTGTTGAACTCAGTGCCACAGAAGTGCATAGCCCAGTCCTGGTTGTGGTGAGTAAGTAAGTTTGCTTTTGAATACTTATTCGTGCTGTGTGCAGTTGCAGTGTGTCCGACTTGGTCTCCTTTGCCGCCCAGGCGTGTGGGGATTGAGTGTCTTGCAGGTCTGTGTGGGACCCCCCTGAGCAATTCGCAGAAAGCAAAAGAAATCAGAAATGATGCCTGTGTCCCCACTGTAAGTTCCCAACTGGGCACAAAAGCAACTTCATTTGAAGGAAACTGCAGAAGTTACAGGATATACAAACTGGGAAGAATGAAAGAGAGAAAATAAAATAGGAACGCAATCCATGGTTACAACAAAAAATGTCGTAGTTATTTTTATTACTTAAATTTCTTACTGAAAAGAAACTGACCTTTGAAGGCTTTTGTCCTTAAGGGAGACTCATACTAAGCCTTGGTATGTTTCTCCCCCAGAGGAATACTCCTGTTCTGACACTGCAAGGCAATAACATCTGGATAAGCAGCGCCTGTGGGTAAGGTTGGACAAAGTCAGTTAATATGGAATTAAATTTTAATAACGTGGCTGCTTTCATCTTCTACAGAGCTACTCCTGTAATCATTTTGCAAAGGGCTGCTGAGGTAATTCAGTTGTATTTAAAAGAACAGAATTCTGCATTTCTGACTATTAAAATAGAAAGCAATGCTTTTTCAAAACTTGCTCTACGAGCTCCCAAAAGGTTTAAATGTTGGGTCTTTCATTTGTGTGAACTATTTTCTGATTCTTGAACAATGCAAGTATGCTGGGTTTCATCTACAATACGCAACGTGTTAAATAGATTCATGCATGCCGAGTCTTGCTAAGCGAAGGATACTGACACAACTGTTATCTCTAGTGTTTATTGCACACCTTAACTGCTTGTGCTTATTGGAACTGGAATTGGAATCCAATAGAATCCAAAGGCTAGATCCAACAGAAACTAAACTTGTTTTTTTTTTAATGAAGAACACAGAGCACACCTAGTTGTCCTGTCTCTCTGTCTCACCCTTCTTTCACTCTCCCCTGCAACCATGTGTATCTTCAGAACAGGAGATTCACACAAGACTGTTTAGCAGATCTTTGAAAACATGCACCAGTGGAACCTCTGAGTTAAAAGAGGGGTTTCTTTATTAAGCTACCTTGCTACATGGTGGTCTACGGTAGCTCAGACCTATGTGATGTCGACATGATCTTTGAGGAAAGTGAAAAGAATAACATCTTTTACAGGTTGTCAGGGAAGGGCTCGTGAATGCACTGAGCTCGAGTCTGTTTTTCCTCTGGATTAAAATGACAGAGGGATTTCCCCTGGGAGAGTGTGTTTCAGTGAGGCGCTCCCCGTAAACTGTTTCATACTCAAGGCAGGCAGGTTGGGCAGGGCGAAAGGAGACAGTGACCTGCTGCAGTCCGCTGCAGTTTTTACAATTTTTCCGAGTGAATATTTAACCCCTTGGTGGCGACGCCCCGGCGCGGTGCAGTCCGGAGCGTTTCCGCAGGAGCAGGGAGACCAAGTGACAGCGTCTGAGGAGGAGTGGAGCGCCAGGCTGGCGGGGCGCAGGCCGCTGGGATCAGGCCCCTCCTCCGGCCGGCATTTAAGAAGCGCTGCCCGGGACCTGATTCGGAGAGAGGATCATGTGGAAAACCAGCAGGCTCGGGGGACGCTGCGTGTGTCTTCGCTTCTACCCAGCCGGGTCAGGAGTAAGAGGGGGACAACACTCTGGTTTGTACAAAAAAACCTTACAATTCTTGCGTAACTGAATAATTTCCAAACCCATAAGCATACATTTTGAAAAAGGTGTTTTTTTGTGTATTGTTTGTACATAAAATCATTGGGAAACTGAGTCACAGGCTTGGGCGAGTTGGCGGTGGTGATAAATCTGCGATGGCTCTCAAACAAGGGTGTCTTGTGGTCGGCCTTGGGACACCTTGCTTTGTTTGTCAGGGCTGAGGTTTAGGGCACTAGACAAACACTTATAAAATGTTGCAGAAGAAGCTACGGAGGTTTCTCCTGCACAGCACAGCTGCCTAATGTTAAGCATGACAGTGTGCTTAACTCAGAGTGACTCGAGCAAATTAATGGGTGGAAAATTGATTTGAAAACAAGCTGGAATACTGTGTCTTCCATACGGTATCAAAACTATACTCTCGTTTTTATAAAGATAATGTTCAAAAATAGCTTGCCGAGTTTGGGGCTAAAATAGACAAAGGTTATAGGACCGTGACAAGATTACTCAGGTTGAAGAATGAGTCCTATAAATTCATGCTTCTCTTGCGTTTTCCTGAAGGCCAGGAAGTGTCCTAAGGAAGCAAAAACAAAGCTGCACCATGCACTTTGGTGCAACAGGTGCAAAACATCCCTAAATCATTTCAGCCGTGCACAAAGCTGTTACTCCTGAACCTGTTATTTTGTTCGTATGGCTAGTCAACATCAACAGACAGCAATATGTATGATAAGACATGCACCAAAGAATACCAAAGTTCTAATCTGCCTATTAAGCAAATCTATCCTGCATTGTAGGCTAGGGTATTTAATGTAACACCATGCATTAGGTAGTCTACGAGAACAGAGGCTCATCAGGTCAGAGCTTATCCTAATAACTATAGCACTAACTGACTGACACTAGCCCATCACAGGGTTACCCTCCCTCAGCATTGCTCAGACCTTTTTCTACAGCTGGCTGGAGTGCAGAAACTGGGGTACAGTAACTTGTACCAGGAACACAGAATGGATGAGTCTATTGTTGTTCACTTCCATGATCCCGGGAATAAATATCCAAAGCTTCTTGTTCCAGGGAATAATGTCCACAGCAGTGGTTTAAACACACAACATGGCAGCTACTCAGTAGGCCTCAAAGTGTCTCTTCACTGCCTGCACTCTGGAACTAAGAGTCTCTCCATTAATATCCTCTTAGTGCAGTGTAACTGTATTAAGGCAAACCTTTTTAAATGTATTGTTGTGGATACATATCGGGCAGCACAGGGTTAAGAAAATCTGCTGTCCTGTTTTTCATAGGCCTGGGTTTAGCTGTCAGCCTCCTTGGGCCCAGTAACAAGTAACAGCTATTAGTCAGGCTATCAGATTCTGAAATCGGATTAGGCCCGACAGCTTTGACGTTGTTGTTTTTTTGTCACACTGAAATGGATCGTGCTTTTAAACTGAGATACCCAGATCAAAATCTCTGCAGCTGTTTTCTTGCCCATTCTTACTTTATAAAAACAGTCCTGCTGTTCGGTTTCAAATAGCTAAGCTTTTAACTGTGTCTTTTTAATCTGACAAGTATTGCTCATTGGCTTTTCCTCATGTTTAACAAAAACACCACTACAGACACATCTGTTTGTTTCAAGTAAGCAACAGCAACGCTAGGACTTACTGTGAAGACGGTACTTTACCAGAAAGGTTTCTTCGATAACAAATCTTACACTTTTGCAAACAAAACCATTTTTAAATGTCAGCTCCACTAAGCTATTGAAAGAATTCACAAATAAAGGGCCAATGACAAATTATGATACAACTAAACTGAGTGCACTTGTGGAGATAATGCCTATTTAGAAGCAAGGGCCATTCTGTAGCAACGTCTGAGTGCATGGTTTTATGACAATGAAGCCTTAAGCCATAGTGTTTCCCATGAGGCCTGCTGTTATTCAAACTGACAGTACCTAGAAATCATTTGCAATTTCATATATTTCCTAGTAAAAACATGTGTTAATACATCCTGTTTGCTGTGACATGACAGTACGGACCTTCACGTGGGGAGATCCTGTGACGAAAGGGTGTCATCTATTTGTCTCCCTCATGTCCCTTTACTCTATTTCTTGTTGTTGGGTTTTAAAGTGGAAAGGGTGGGAGGTCAGCATCTTCTCCCTAGTGGCATAACACAGAATCCAGTGCTAATTAAGACTGGAGCCCTAATGAGAGGCGCTAATGACTTTTTAATGTTGTACAGCTTTGTAGTACTTGTGGCTGTGCGAGTCCAGATCAGTCCCTGGCTCTCTTCTAAACTCTAGACATCCGATTGTCTGTACATTAACAGTATTAGCACTGCCAGCAGGTACAGTTCTACCATAGATTTTACAGGCTTCTCTGTTTGTAACCTGACCGTCTATAAGATGGGCTCAGACCTGTTTCATATGACTTGGGTCTGTTGTCTCTATTGTGTTTTCCATGTTTTTGCTAGTTCCGGGCCAACACCCTGTGCCCGGTCACATCAGGTTAAAGGAAACAATCCTATCAAACGCAGTATCTTTAATGCCCTAGGGGCTAAAGAAAGCACTTTAAAATTGTTTCACAGTGATGACAGGCTGGCAGTGAAAATGGCTCAGAATTTGTGCAATACACACCTTGTCAGATCAAAGCTTCAGGTTTTGCAACTTGAGAATCCAGGATTACCTAGCCAGACTCAGACTCTTGAATTTTGACATTTGACCCCACTGCCCAAGAGAGAGAAGAAACAGTTCAGCAAACTGTTTAGAAAAAAATTGTACTCAGAGTCTCTATTTTATTTCTGTGGAGGCTGACTTTGGCAATGGCATATGTTCCTGGCAAAACTGGAACAAAACATCTCATACTTACATAAGAAAGGTTACAAGGTTAGAGGAGGCCGTGCAGTCCATCTGGTAGTTAGTAGCTAATGGATCGGGGGATGTCATCCAGCTGTTTCTTGAAAGAAGCCACCCTGGGCTTCAACCACGTGGCTGGGTAGCTCGTTCCACACTCCTGCAACCCTTTGCGTAAAGAAGAGTCCCCTGTTCTTGGTTTTAAATGAACTTTATCTCTGCTGAAAGGGCTCACCTAAAAGGGATACAAAGACGTTATCTATGGAAAGACATTTATATGCAAGAAATGGCACAGAGGGGGGTTCATTCACTAGAATTTAGTGTCTCTCGCCAGCAGAAGTTTGGGCTACAATTCCGGACGCTTCTCAGCTGATAGGAGTTTGATCCTCAGATGGGACACCTGCCCATGTGCCGATACCACTGTTGACACTGAACTAGCAAATACATCAAAAATACAACAGAGAGCACGGGGTCATACTGCAGACCCAAACCTGCAGGTCTGAGCCCACGTCAGAATAGGTTGTGAAGCACAGAAAGGGTAGGTTGCACACCCTTGGGGCCCCTTGGAAAGTAATAAGAGTGATGTTGCACAGGGTGTTCCGAGGACCTTGGTGATGTACAACTAGGAAATGTGAGGCTTCTAAGAAATGTGAGCTCAGAAACCTCTCTCTCTCGCGCACGCTTTTGTGTGTGTGTGTTTCCGGGACGGGGAAAGCCGCCGCATTCCTTGGATGAGCGTCAGTAGCCGCGGTCAGGACCCCTCACCGCCAGTCGCTCCCGACGCGTTCCGCCCCCCGCCGAGCAGCCCGGGCCAAGAATGTGGCGAATGGAGAGCAGTTCTTCTGCGGAAAACGCTATCAGCGCAGAAGCATTTCCTACACAACACACCTGTCGAGGGAAAAGAGGCTCAGAGAGCCGGAGTGGAGAAGAGAGAGACGGGCTCTCCCTCCAGCGTCAGGTGACACCGCAGTGACTTTCCTGCATTCCCTGGGACAGCTCCAGGAGACACCCCTCCACCTCAGGCCTCCACTGCCCGACAGTGTCCTTTTAGAAAACCGAACCCCGCCGGACCGGTTCAGTAATGCCTCTTTTCTTGTGTTAAGAAGGATATGGTGAAAGAGGAGCTCAAGGACCTCTACAAAGGAAAGGGGGCAAGTGTTGCATCCTGCAAGGTTTTGAAGTTTCCCACAGAACGGCGATGGAGATCTCCCGTCTCTCTGCTGAGGCCCGGGGCACACATACTGATGTACTGTCACAGAAAAAACTTCTGAGCCCTGCTTGGCTAGTCTTCCCCCTTTCCCAGCGGTACACCTCCTCCAGTAACAAAGGAAAGAGAGGGGCACCAAAGGGGAAATGAAGCAGGCTTGTTGCCACATTGCGGAAAAGACCACAAAAATAAAGATGAAGGCTGTGGCCATAATCCTTCACCGTCACGTGACGTCACAGAGTGTTGGCGAGGTGCTGTTTTTGCTGTTTGTGGTTTTAGCTGTGCAGTGAAACAGATACCCAGGGCGCTTCACCAGACTCCAGGTTATGGGTCTTTCAAAAAAGGCAGAAATGAGGGAAAAGGGGAGATGCATGAAACTTTATCCCACTGCAGGGTGCAGAGTCAATAGAGGGCCTTTGTTACAGTCTCCAACACCAGCACGTTACTCAATGAGCCGAGGGCTGCCGTATGTACAGTATGTCTTACAGTCGCCCTGAGTTATAGGAGCCACATGAAAGAAAAAGCTACTTTAGGCAATTGAAACAAATCCGTTTTTTTCAGCCCGTTAACCAGATTTATTAAAAAAAGATTTCTCTGGATCACGGAATCGGGGCAGATGAAATGTAACGTGATGCTTGCACCGTTTGTGAATTTAAGCGAGTGGCCGGCGAGTCCAGTGCTTTGTTCTCTCTGTCTGCTCTGTGTTTTTCGATTTGCCCCCTACACACTGTGGCCCTGCTCACCCACGTGCCCACCGCAAGTGGCTGACTAGTGACTTGACCAGTCCATTGGTCACTGGTCCAGAGGTCAGTGGCATAGTCAATAGGATACATTGTCAAATTAGCAACTGACGGGCGTGACAGAGCTGATCGAAGTTAATTGATTAAAGTCGGGCCTTTGAAGTGTGTCATCAGCTGCTGGCTTGTTAATTGGCTCCTACATGTGTGTTAACTCTGGAGTCGTGGTTACAAGACCTCAGTCCCACTTCAAGGCTGTCGGAGTGGACGTGTGCTTTTGCCATTTCTCAGACCAAAATTAAAGCTTTGGCAGTCAACTAGTACTGCAGGTTCCACTGCGTCCTGGCCCTGCACTGGCACCAGAGAAGATACAGTGCAGGAAGTTCGCCAAGGACTCCCCTGATGAGGAAACAAGACAACAGCGTGGTCTCTAAAACATTTAGAGTTGTATCATTTAGAGAACAGCTGTGCTGGAGATGCATATGAATGCAAATAAATTTGGCTGCAAGTGCTGTTTGCTCCTTTCTCGGTTCAAGAGCGTGCCCAAAACCAGCTATGATTTTCTCGTGCTGTTGTCAACAGTAAAGGAATCTCGACGTTTTGTAAAATCAGCAGAGAGTGTGGCTTTTGCTTTTTAAGTTTGATCTAACTCGGGAACAATTCGGCTTTCATACCAAGGGGCATTCCACTCTGTCCAAAATCTCCCGGCCCAAAACGGAGCTCCTGTTCTCCGCTGTGCCTGGAGCGAACTTGAGTGTGTGCTCTGCATCACTCCAGAAGCAGCAGGAGTTTCAGTTTGGAAAAGAAGTTGGAGTCACAGTGGTAGTTGAAGCAGTATTTTGTCATAGTCAAGAGGTGGAAGAATCTTTTTCCGTAGTAGTTTATTATTTTGAGAGACGTCTTATTTATTACCTTTGTATTTTAAATAAGCCCTGTAATCCCCTGTACTTCAAAACCTGCTGGCTTTTGGGAATGTATTCTGCGTAATTCTCCCTTGACTGGGGATCAGGGGGGAAGTGGGGATTATGCACTTTAATGACACTTGCTTTATCCCTGTAAGTCACTGCACTCTTTTCACATACTGAACCAGAACAGAACATCTGTTCAGAGTCTTGGTTCAGGCAAGCTGACAGCTTACAAGACTCATTCTAAGACGTTTCTCAACTGGCAGCCTTTGCCGTCTGCTCCACTGCAGCACTTCGATTAACTATCTCTTTAATTGCGATATTGATTGTGTGCCTTACCAATTAAATAATTAAGGAGCTGGTTGCAGAGAACTTGCGTGATGGAGTGCATTGGGATGGTCATGGGTTGTGCAGGCCTGGTCTACATCATGACTCATCTTCGTTGAGCCCTTTAGCTCAAAGACAAATGATATTTTTGCATAAGGAAATTCTAGGAAAACCGGATGCTCTGAAAAAAATAATGACTTATAAACAGTGGCTAAACAAATGGATCTGAAAATAATTAAAAGGCAGAGTTTTAAGACCCTGGTGCTATTAGACATGAGTGGGTTTTTAATGCTACAGTTTCCCATGATCATTTAAATGTAGGTGTATAAAAAAACAACATATTAAATGTGAATATGGAAAACTTGTGCTGTATCGCACTTCACACAGACTGTAAATAGTCTCTGTTTTCTTCTTCTACAGGGGGAGCGGCTGTGGATTACAGCTGGATCACATCTGGACTGAAGGTTAACCACTAGTCTGGCTGTATCGGAGAGGGTTCCTGGCACCGTGATTTGATGCAAAAACAGAAACCAAAATCACATTGCCAGGGATTTCCACTCTGTTACAGGTTGCTCCTTCGGGCTGTGGTGTTGATGACCAAGGAGGTGCCTGATAAGTCCCTCGGTTATGCTGCTCAAGTTGCAGGAGCCTTCTCAGACCGTTCCCTGACGCTGGGTTTAAGATGGATGGATTTGAGGCAGAACAAAATAGCTGGAAATGCTTTCTCCCTAATCTGTGGAGACAGGGTAGGAGGGGTTTGTTAAAAGCACCGTCATTGCTGAACTTGTTAGGTATTTAAACAGTTCTTGCTTCGGAAAAGGAAACATGAAAACGTGCTGCCCCTGTGAGAAACTGTGAGAGCAGTTTTGGGAACATTTTGGGGATGAGCGAAAGCTAAAAAAAGGTCGATAAGACTGCTATTGTTTTTGTTTGTCGATGCACTTCAATTATCCTTAGCTCAGCGCCATTGGAAAACATCAGAGTTTCAGCCTAGAAAGAATGATTTAACAAAACACACCATTTTTGTGCTTTTGTGCAAAACAAAAACTAGTTTGAGTTTTCAGTTTGAGTGCCGAAGTGAGGGGAGGCTCAGATTTGACTGAGCAAAACATGACAACTTGGGGTAACAGCGAAATGCCTGTGATGGTATGGTCTGTTAAACTGCAATTTTGCATCTATAAAAAGATGGGAAAGTGTTCGAAGCTAGTTTAATTGCATATTATATACTTGAGAAGTGAATTATAGACAGTTGTCCTGATGCAACATATAATTATCTGCAGAATGAAAAACAAAGGCAGTGAAGAGAATAGTTTTTTTTCTGTGTTTAAGGTCCTGCACTGTGCACATCCTGTAGCCCAGTCCCTTTCTGAAGGCACAGAGCTTAGCTAATTGGCGAGCATTGTTCCTATCAATATATTGTTCACAGTGGCTAAGTTCAGTGCCCGAAGTGAAACAGTGGATGGGATGTGCATGCACTGATGGAGATCACGCGTCTCTCTTCAGAGGAAGATAACCCAGAACAAATCCCGCCCTCCTCCCGCGGAGCTGCTAGCCAGAAGGCAGCAGGAGTAACTGGATGCCTAGAAAGTGTGCAGGCATGCTGGGTAAATGTCAGGCTAGTCCTGGCTTGCAAGAATCCAGCTCACGTCCCTCAAAGGACTGGTACACTTACGGCCCTGCTCCTGTCCCTGCTGTTGGAGACTGGGGGGAGGCGCGCTGCGTGTTCTCCAGAAACGCACAGAGAGGTAGGCTACCTGCCCAGGCCATTAGTATGAACACTCTGGGGCAAAGTAGTGAGGACTGCACTTCAATTAAAGAAAGCTGACATTCATCAATCTCAGACTGACGGTGTATTCTTTCAGCAATTACACAAAATGCAAGGGCCCGAAAATAAATGAGCAGCAGCACCCATCTCACTCCCTTTCTTGTGAAAATCTTTGAAATATGATTGTTAATTTGAATGATTCGTCTAATCTGCCCTGGCCGTAATCAGTTACAGTTCCCTCCTTTTGCAACTGCAGTGATGACGCAGCCAAGTGCATTGTTGTATTGGCCTAAT